CAAATCCACTTCCTCTTCCCATCCTCTCCTTATAAGAAAAGGGTGGTAAAGAGAAAGGGACTTAAATTAGGCCTACAAGGATAGAAGTAAGACAATGTTATTGTTAGAGTTTTGAACCCGTCGATATACAGAAAAAACATAAATTTAGCTGTCGCCCGCGACTTTGTCTGCTAGACACTATGAAGACTATGTGTTCTTGCAAGACTATTCTATGCCTTTCAGCGAGATCCTTTTATTCGTTCTGGAGATATGTTATAACATCTATCAATATAAACTTGTGCATAATATAGTATCTTTCGCCCGCGTCTCCGTCTGTGTGCAATTAATAAACAACAAAAGTACGTATTCTATGTGTTCCAGACTATCCTCTACATTTATGACAGATTTCATCGAGGTTTTTAGTATTTTTTTGTACACATGTAATGAAATAAAATTATAAAAATTTTATTTTTAATTATAAAAATTTTATTTCATTACATGTGTCAAATTATCAATTGCAAATATCAAAATGACATGACATGATGACAAACCGTGGCAACCTTGCTTCCTTCATGTTGGCAGCAACTTATGGTCTCTTTCCCACATTAGGGTTTTTATCCAAAATATTTACCCCTTAAGTTTAATGGTGTGAAAATATGTAGCCTAAAGCGTGACGTAAGTGTAGTGCGTTTTATTAAAAAAGGAATTATTCAAAAATATGGTGTAATTGCTGACATCTTAGGCAACAAAGAAGTGTGTGTTTACGCTTTATTATAATAGTATAGATAAAATTTATTACAGTACTGTTTTGTTTATCTATAATCTATATTTATACTAATGTATTAAAGAGGAAAGATTTGTATTTTTGTATTTCATATGTATTGTAATAACTCAAGAATTACTGGACCGATTTCAAAAAATCTTGCACCATCAAAAAGCTATGTTATCTATGGTGAAGTCGCGCGACAGATAGTCTAAAAGACAGGCTGTGAAAACTTAATGACTTTGGAAATAGATTTCTATTATAAAAATGAGAAACGTGTTATAAAACTTACAGCACTCTTCTGTGCGTCGACATCTTCTTTCAAATTCCAAGGGCGGTAGAGTTTGCCCACAGCGACCGCGTAGTTCTCTGCTGGGCGTTGCTTTTTTACGTCGTTCCAAAAGCAATGGGCGGCTGGAAGATATTGTTATACTGGATTAGGACATTTTTATAATAAGATGGTAAACGAGCAAGCGACCAAAACACGCCAAAATGGCGGAACGACTGCCCATAGACATCTGCAATTGCAGCGTTGCCTACCCTTATTGACGGAGGAGACGCACATAAAGAGGGTATTTTTTTTGCGACTTTACCGTCAAATCCGTTTTCCCTCCCATCCTTTCCTTACAAAAAGGCGTAGAAAGAGAAACAAAAACATTTAAATTCCTGTACGAAGAAAGTGTTATACGGCTGTTTGGATTTCATTATCTCATCGTTGGCGCAATTCACTGTTACCTAATTGGTTATTTTTTAAAAGAGCCGATGTTTGATTACAAGGAACAAGGCATTTTTTGTAAATACTCGAATTTTCGCGCCTGTACCACAACAATTGGTGTCAAATTTCATACCATTAAATAGAAAAAAAATGTAGTTATAACGCTTTTTAGAATCAAGAAATCTTTTCAAAAATCCGCGACTCCGTTCCCGTGCAAAAAAAAACAAAAGCAAGTAGCCTATGTGTTCTTCCAGACTATCCTCTACATCTATACCAAATTTCATCGGAATCCGCTCAGCTGTGGCTACAAGCACTAACAAACATTCATCTAAACTTTCGCATTTATAATATTAACTAGTATGATTATTATTGAATTAAAATATAGGGTGACCATGATTTATTATACTCACCGGATATAACAGCATGAGTTGAGACAAGTGACCCCCCGCATATCTGCATGTACGGGGTGGACTCTGTTGAGTAAATTCCTGCATGCCAGGGTAACTCTCCCCTTTCCGCGTTAGTACCGTTGATTATAAGGAATTCCCCTTCCGGTGTTACCCTGCCGCATTCTGAAAAAGTAAATAAGATGTCGTTATACGTTCTGCGTTTGTGCGATATTTTAGCCGCAAGATATTTGAAAAATACTATACTTTAGGGAAAACATCCTCATAATAATATTTGTCTGTTAAGTTTATGACGTACTCTTAGTCGAGAATATACTCGTTTACTGTGGCAAGTAAATTCATAATTCATCTGGTGCGGCGGGCCAAAATGCGCCCCCAATATTTCTGGCAATGCGTGGCAGGTCTTTCTAGACCCACCAGCACTAGATTAGTTTTTGCTATAACTTTGTGAAAACATAATGTATATACATTTTATTTAATATTAGGTGTTCCCGTGCGACTTCCTCCGCATGAAATTATGAATTTTTTATTTTATTGTCTACATTTGTCAAATTATCAATCTCAAATGTCAAAATGACATGACATGATGACAACCTTGCTTCCTTGATGTTGGCAGCAACTTATGGTCTCATACCCACATTAGGGTTTTTATCCAAAATATTTACCCCTTAACGGTGTTAAAATATATAGCCTAAAGCGTGACGTAAGTGTAAGGCTTTTTATTAAAAAAAGAATTATTTAAAAAATATGGTGTAATTGCTGACATCTTAGACAACAAAGTAGTGTGTGTTTACGCTTTATTATAATAGTATAGATTACATGCACATCTGAGATAATCGTTTCGCACTAGCGAGGACATAGTTTTCTTCCTCCGCATCAGCTTAATAAATCGACTAATCATTACGATCCGCGTCAGGTCGATATCGGCCTGTCACGCTGTGATCGTATTAATTCAAACAGCTATTGTTTGTTTAATCTGTGGTTGCCTATTCTACTTATTTTTAATTAATTAAACTAGGTTTAAGAGTTCACGATTTATATGCCATCGGAAACTTATGAATTACGCTAGTTAAAAAGATACTATAAATTTGTAGAAAAAAGAAAATTCTCAACTAATTACAATAACAACATTAATACAAAAAAAAACATCATTTTACAATAACTTTGATAATAAAATAAATTACAGACAGTTTTTAATATTTCCAGACCGATTGTAAATTGCCGATATTCATAATCTTGCGGTGGCACGACTTTATCGCAATAAAGTTGGGTAAACACTCGGGTATTTACAGAGGCCCGGGGAAACTGCGGTCAAAGCTCTACTACTCGTAATGTCGAACTCGAGTTGTTTTTGCGTAATATTTCCTAACACACACATAAGAGAATAGGAAGGGGAAATATCCTCTTTATGTGCATCTCCTCCTCTGTCGAATAAGGGTAGGTAACGCATTTGCAATTGCGGATGTCTATGGGCAGCGGTTGCTTCTCCATTTTGGCGGATTCAGGTGGCCGCTTGCTCGTTTGCCACCTTTTTTATATAAAAAAAAACACACACTATTGACTTAATATCACAAGTGTGTGAGTAACCTCGCTCTGATTCCTATGAGTTTAAATGATGCATACTACTCGATTGTTAGTTGTTCAACTAAACAGTGGTAAAGTGGTAGAGCCCGCTTTAACATCTTCGCACTGCGGGGCTCGTCCCAGCAATACCACGACCACAAGACAGGCGTGAAGTGAAAGCAATTCCGCGTACAGTCTGATGAGTGTGGTGCCGGAGGCCTAATTTTAGTCCCTTTCCACCCTTTTAAGAGAAAAGGATGGGAAGGAAAAGTGAATTTGACGGTGGAGACGCATAGGAGGGGGAAATGTTCTCTTTATGTGCGTCTCCGTCAATGAAGGGTAGGCAACGCTGCAATTGCGCATGTTTATGTGCAGCGGTCGCTTTCCATTTCGGTGGATTCAGGCCGCTTGTTCGTTTGCCACCTTATATTATAAAAAAAATCAGTTGAGGCTGCAAAACAATCGACAATCGCACAACAGTTTTGCACTCTTACAAAGATATTGTTTCATAAAAACAATGCGTGTTTGCAATCACGATGTTTTCCTTCACCGTATTAATATCTGATAAATACAATCAGGGAAGTCAACGGTGTTCCACTTTTAGAATAATTGCCTACTGTCTTCCAACATGATAAATTCATATAAAAACCCAATTAGGTAATAGTTAGCAATATACGGGACAAAATTAAAAAGGAATTAGCTGTGTAATTTAAAAACCATCTTTTGCTGTGGTATACCGACAGATTCCTCGATTGTACACATGTATACCTGGGGAATCTAACCGTGACTTATTCACAAGTTAGATGCTTAACTTCGCCATCAAAGCATATAAAATGTGATTTTACATAGTTTTCAAATACATCAAATCAATTTAGAAAACATAATGCGTGAAATGATATTGAAATAGGTACAGTCGCGGACGTAAACGGTGTTTTCTATTTGCAGAAAAATTGCCTTGTTTCTAACAACGAGACAAACTCCACATCTTTTTATGACAAAAAACCCAAGAGTAGGTACATTTTTAATATATACTGGATATTACCTTAACGCCGTAAGGGTAGGTTTTTAGTAATTAATGTATGGAAAGATTGTTACTGAATATGCGCCCACGATACAAGCATTACCACAAATTGTAATTAGCTAAGTCGGTATAAATGTAATTGTAATTGTTAAATCTTTTTTTTATTCAATAAAATTATTTCTATATCTATTTCTAGTTGTTTAAACGGGATATTTATGAACATTTAAAGCTTGCATCCTATTGGTTGTTCCTCGTCTTCAATGCGTATAAAATATTCAATCTTTTTTATTCGATCACCGCCAAAATCCCCGATTGTACATATATAAATTCCCCAAGTAACGTGTTTAAAGATTGGTTTTCCATACTGTCGCTTGCGGCAAGCCCAGTAAATATGCCTTTAGTTCTACGCACTGGCAGGAAAGGAGTTCAGTTCGTTTTAAATGTTCTCTTGTATGGTCGTATACTGTGATTTTAGTGTTGTGCTTTTGTGATTTTTTTTTGTTAAATTTTCACTTTGGTATTTAAGTTAAATTGTTAATAAATAAATACGATATTTGATATGTTTAAAAAAGATTTTTAAGAAATCGAATATTAAAAAATTATGTTACATAGAGAATTAATTGTAAACATTTACTTTTTATTATATTAATCTTTGTATTTCTTTCAATATTTTCTAATCTGTAAAATATTTTTAATACTAATCTTTGTAATTGTTATTTGTTTTATTTTTAGAGCACACCACTAAACTATCGCATAACTGTTCAGTCTCGCTTTTCCTACGAGCTTATGGAGGTGCAAACTCGATATTCAGTTCATGATCCACTTGCCCTTATCCCTTACGGAGGGTCGGCACAGTATGTGCTCCATACATCTCTATCAGTCATATCTGAAACCACTCCTTTCTTAAGCATATCTTTCACACAATCCATACTTTCTTCGGTCTTCCTCTTCCTTTGTAGCCATCCACATTCAATCGAACCCTTACTGGTTTATGTCCCCATCATTTCGTCGCATAACAACTCGATATTTATTTGTGCAACTAAATAGTTGAGGCGAAACGACAATCGACAGTTGTGCGATAGTTCAGTCGACTTAAAAGTATTATTAACAGGACAGAGGTAAAAGGCGTTAAACGAAAACTATGTTTTTTAGTGTAAAAATAAGTTTATTTAAAAAAATTACAATATTCCATCCTGTTAACAATACAAAATAACTACAAAAATGTTAGTTGCGACAAATTAGTTGACCCGGTGAGAGACGATGGTATCGCGTTTGTTTAATAAAATATAATAAAATAATAATATAGCTTTTGCTCGCGTCTTCGGGCGAACGGAACTTAAAAGAATGTGCAGCCTTTTGTCTATGACATGAAAAATAATAGAAAGAATAGCCTATGTTAGTCAGTGTTAACGTAGTTTGTTAATGGTGAAAGAATTTTTGCAATCGGCCCATTGTTTTTTGAGTTATTTCAATAAATATGAAAATTTTATTTTATTATTTACATATGTCAAATTATCAATTGCAAATGTCAAAATGACATGACACGATGACAACCTTGCTTCCTTGATGTTGGCAGTAACTTATGGTCTCTTTCCCACATTAGAGTTTTTATCCAAAATATTTACCCCCTAAGTTTCATGGTGTTAAAATATATAGCCTGTAGCCGTGACACAAGTGTAGGGATTTTTATTGAAAAAAAAATTATTCAAAAATATGGTGTAATTGCTGACATCTTAGGCAACAAAGAAGTGTGTGTTTACGCTTTATTATAATAGTATAGATAGATTACGTCAGCTTAATTCGCATCAGGCTAATTTACACGCGTACCGAGTAACTTAAAATTCTGTTTTCTAACTAAATTTGTTTTTAAGTTAAGTTTTTTACTTTACTTGTTACTCAACTAAATTACTAACCTGCGAGCAATGCCTACACACTCTAGGACAGCTGTCTTATGGCAGATTTTCATTAGTTTCATTCGTAACGGGTCAAATAAATTTGTCCATCTATAATCGTTATTATTTACAAATATTGAAAAACTGTTACTAATTTTTATGTAGATATAAATTAATTTAACAGCTTTCTCTTATTTTTTTATTATTTTTTTAAAATACAATATACAAGTGCAAAAGTTCATTATATTTTAATAAATGTATTATTTATCTTTTTATTTATTAATAAATAAATATTGTTACAATATATATCTAAACATTTTCTAGCGTTTTTATTTATTCAGGAAATCACATATTTGCTGTTACATCTAATATATTTTAAAACTAAAGGAACTGTATATTTTGGTTTAGTAAACTTATAACTAAACCGATTACAATTGCCAAAGGAAAATATTACACTTTTAAGCAAATAAAATTACACTTTCGAACAAAAAGGTATACACTTTTGCGTAAAACGTAGGCAAATACACTTGACGGTAAAATGGAATTTACTTGACATGCTAGGTATTGATACAATGTACACAAGCCAGTAAAAAATCAACGAGATTGCGGCATTCAGTCAAGTTTTGTAACCTTCGACCCCTCCCTCAACTTAATTGCCCTTAGCTATTACATTTTTTTTGTATAATAAAAACAAAAGCAAGCGGCTACCTGAATTCGTCAATGAAGCGATCGCTGCCCATACATCCGCAATTGCAGATGCGTTTGCGTGCCGACCCTTGATCAACGGAGGAGACGCACATAAAGAGGATATATCCCCTTCCTATGCGTCTCCACTGTCATATCCAGTTTACTTTCTTATCCTTTCCTTCAGATAATGGTAGGAAGGGAAAAGAACTGAAATTAGGCCTACACTAATCGAACGCGAAATTGCTTCCACTTCATATCTTATGTGGTCGGTTCAGTGTTTGACACTAAATTCAATATAGTGCTAGTTACTTGAATGCAAGTTGGCTGACACTTGCCAGTGTGCAGTATGTCTATTGCCAGTAACAACCCAGTACACTTTTAACACCATATTTGTACACTTGAGTGCATTTATTAATGTACTAGCTGTTCCCATGCGGCTTCATCCGCATGAAATTATAAAAACTTTATTTTATTGTTTACATTTGTCAAATTCTCAATTACTTTCAAAATTACCGTTACCAATGCTTCCTTAATGTTGGATTGTGGTCCCTTTCACACATGAAGGTTTTTTTCCCCAATTTATTTACCCCTTAAGTTTAATAGCGTGGAAATAAATAGCCACCTACGCTTAATTACATTGCAATAGATTATAAATAAATGAAGAATTAGGATTATTAAATATTCTGTTATTTTTCAGTTGTAAAGATTTAATATCTAGTTTATATGGCACTTGTAGCCTAAAATTACTAAAAAAAAGTCACTGTATATTAGGAATATAAGCCTCGTAGAATCTACCTAAATCTATTAGTAAAGTACTAACTAAAATTAGTATCTATTATGGATTCGACATAAAAAAAGGAGAAATTACAAACCAAACCTTTGCTCGATAATCAAGTTTATTTTAAACTTAAATGAACGTAAAATTGAAACAAATAAAATTATATACCAAATGAAATGTTCAAAATAATTCAAGTATTGAGGTGATTATCCATACAAAATATAAAAATAGGTACAAGATAATAGTTTTATTTATGTATGTATGGAAAACGAGTAACGCGGATAGAAGTTTTCATGTACCTTACTAGGTATTCCCGTGCGACTTCATCCGCATGAAATTATGAAAATTTTATTTTATTGTTTACATTTGTCAAATTATCAATCACAAATGTCAAAATGACATGACATGATGACAACCTTGGTTCCTTGATGTTGGCAGCAACTTATGGTCTCTTTCCCACATTAGGCTTTTTTTATTAAAATATTAACCCTTTAAGTTTAATGGTGTTAAAATATATAGCCTTAAGCGTGAAGTAAGTGTAGGGCTGTTTATTAAAAAAAGATTTATTCAAAAATATGCTGTAATTGGTGACATCTTAGGCAACAAAGAAGTGTGTGTTTACGCTTTATTATAATAGTATAAATATGCCTTTAGCCCATATTTAAAAACAGTAAAAGATCGCAATATATTAAAATCCGGTAAAATATAGTCACAAATATATGTATGAGTTTTATAACATTATTCAGTTTCTAACACGACTAATTAGGAAAGTGCATAACACCATTAGAATTAACTGGAAATGGGTCATTTTTCTTTGACAATTTATCTTTAGTTGGATTATCATTCGTTACTCCGATACGCCAATCTATCCCATCTATATCGTAATCGGTACTTTCGGTAGGATTTTCAACAGGTTTGATAGGCTGTGTTTGAAGAAACTCCGGTAAATCCGTAGGCAATGGAGGCCAAATAGGTCTATCGGTAAATTCGTCCTGAACTGAAACAGGCCTATCGGTTATCGGTTGAACACTAGGTTTAGCGTCATTAAGTTGAACACGATCAGGTTTAGCGTCGTTATGTTGAACCTGATCAGGTTTGGCGTCATTAGGTTGAACACGATCAGGTTTAGAGTCATTATGTTGAACCCTATCAGGTTTTGCGTCATTACGTTGAACCCGATCAGGTAAAGGATTTATATTAGGTTGAATCGATATGGATTGTGCTTCATTGAGTTGTAACGGGATTGGTTTCGCATCATTTAATTGAACCCAGATATTAGCGTCATTAGGTTGAACCGAGACAGGTTTGTCTTTAATCGGTTGAACCATATTTGGGAAGACTAGTGTGATCGGTGACGCGTATTGGAACTGACTTATGTGTATTTCGACATTATCTTTAATAAGTATAGTAATGTTAGTTGCGTTTTTAATCAAACCTGGTACGCAAGTGGCGGTATAGTCCCAGCTTCCGTCGGAGCACCTCATGTAGGGCAAAGTCCCCGAGGCGTAGTAATTAGGACGTCTGCATTCAGGTTTGACGACAGTTCCAGTTGGCTCGTATTGCTTGCAAGGTCTACTACCTTCTACTCCCGCCTGGTCTGAGAGTAGACAGCGGTAGTCTACGCTTGGATGTGGAGATAATTTGCAATAACCTGTTGGAGAAGAAGATACGAGTGCATTTTTACTTTTTTTTTGTTCTTAAAGTACTTGTATATATTTGTACCTATGTTGTTCGTATAAGACTTATTAAACGACCTTGTTGAAATGACGGTAGTCAGCGGATTAAGTGATCTTAGACTATATTAGATGTTGATAGCTGTTATAGAGTGGACATTAAAATCTACTCAATCAAGTCAGTAGTAAATGCCATATAATTTTTAGACGTGAAGAACTATACTGTATTTATATTCATAAATAAATACTAGCTTTCGCCCGCGACTTCGCTCGCGTGGAATTTAAACAAAAGTATGCAGCCTAAATATTCCAGACTATCCTCTACATCTATGACAAATTTCATCGAGATCCGTTCGGCAGTTTAGGCTACAAACTCTAACAAACATCTATCCCTCTAACCTTTCACAATTTAACGTTGCAGGCAAAAGCCTTTTTGTTTTGATTCCGTGAGGAAATCTTAAGAAACACTTTTCTTGGTGTCCATCGGAAGTGCAAGACCTAGATCTAGGACAGTCATTTTTTAAACTTTAATTTTACTTACGTATACAACTAGGCATCGGTGGTACCCATATCCCGTCGAAACATAACACCGATTCGTTCCCATCCAGTGCATACCCTGGGTAGCAGCTGACGATGAGGGCGAAGCTCTTAAAGCCTTGCCCAGGGCTTGCTGTGGGTGCACCCTTCACCACATAGGACCCATGGTTAGGATATGCTGGGAGTACACAAGGACCAGTGGCGATTGGTCTGTAAAGAATAAACCCTCTTATTTGTTGAACTGTATGAACGGACATTTTCATGTGTTGAAAGAGTTTCAATAATAATTTAATGTTTTGAAATGAGAAGTGTCAGATTTTTTTAGTTGAAGAATTCCTTATTCATCGAAAACAATTTTGTATAGTCAGTGGGACTCTATCCTGAGCTAGTTATTACTGTGGTTCAGGACGCAGGGCTTTCTTTTAACGATTGCATTAGACGAGAGACATAGATATAAAGATAAATATTTTACCATAACTTAGTTTTTACTTAGTGTATTGTGTGTTCGTATTCAGATGAATGTGCATGGAAGCTTGTGTATTTGTGTTTGTACGTGTGCATGCGTGTGTGGGTGTATAATTAATTATATTTATTTATTACGAGCTTTCGCCCGCGACTCCGTCCGCGAGGAATTAAAAAAAACTAAATCAAGTAGCCTATGTGTTCTTCCAGACTATGCTCTACATCCATGCCAAATTTCATCGAGATCCGTTCAGTCGTTTAGGCTACAAACTCTAACAAAC